TCTCGGGGGAGATGGAGAAGTCCACCCAATAAGTCAGGAAATAAGCAAAGAGGCAGCAGGAGGCACAGCCTCCCGGGCAGGGGCACAGACTGCTGTCGGGGGCCGTGAGTAAGGACGTCCCCAACGCCTCTGACGTCAGCGAGAAGGTGGCACCTGCATGGCTGACGTGGATCTCTGCGCCGGGTGGAAACTTACTATTCCTGGCGGCGGTTTCCGGCGGGACGTCACGAAACTACTAGGGAGAAAAAGAGTCCGTTTCTGGGGTTCGTTTTGACACAGTGGCAGAAATGTTTTAGAGATCAAGTTCAGACACGAAGGCAGGCGTTAACAGGAGTAGGGGAAGAATCCATTTCTCAGGGGCTGCTGGGTCAAGGACGCTATTTCTCCCAGGCGATCCAAAGATAGTCATTTTGGTGAAAACATCTAAAAGTGGGCACCGGCGAAGCAGCTGGGGACGTCTGAGAGCAGCGTGCGTGGAGGACCAGCCCCGCTGGTGAACGGCCCCGCCTCTGCTCTTGCCGCACGGACCCCCGTGGTCACGTCTGTGACGCGGGGCCCACGGCACTGCGTGGGGGCCACCGAGCACTTCGACCTCCAGCCTCGAATCGGTTTTAGGTTTTGGGAAATAAGCCACAGGGGAGGCGGTGCTGCCGAGGGACAGGGGGGGGCAGGGGGAGGGGGGTGGCCCGCCCTCTGCCTGGCTGCGGGGGGTCCTGGGAGGGTGGTACCCAGCCAGTTCCGGCGGCCGAATGGAGACGGGGCACCCACAGGAGGCTCCACGCGGACTTACTTCTGACACGTCACCCCTGGAGCACCCCAGACGCGTCCCCTCTCAAAATGCCCTTAAAATAGCGAGCCTTTAAAAAATAGTTTTGAAAAATCTCTAATAGTTAAAAAATAAGATATTTGCTCTAATGGGAAAAAAATGGATAACGGCAACCATTTGAAATCAAAAATTGAAGTTGAGAGCCCTAAAATAGTCCTTCGGTTTCATTCTAATTTCCCTGGGAAGCTGAAGAAAATGTTATTCAGAGGCAGGGAAAGCTGACGATGCCTCTTGCCTGACCAGCCCCGAGTCTAAAACATTGGCCCCGGCATCGCCCGTAAGAAGGTTGGCGAAGCCCCGTCAAAACTATGTGGGCGTGGCATTTTACCTTTAAAGTTAACGCAAGTGATGGGCAGAAACAGATTCAATCTAATTCTACATAAATTTGACTCCCGGAGGTAAGGCAGGCCACTCTTTTCATGAGAAATAGGCTCGGCAACTAGAACTCTATAAACCCGAAATGCTCCTTTCAAGAAAATCCCTTTTTACACGAACAGAAATGAACTAAACTTGTCTTAATGCTACAAGCAGAATTAACTGACCGTGTGAGAAGCGACAGGATTTAACTGCGGGTCTTTACATAGCTCTGAGCATTATTTCTCTAAAATCTACTGAAACCCTGAAAAATTAAGCTAGTATCAAGTCCTCTGTAGATTTTTAAAAGATGCTAGGAATGATATTTTAAGATCCTATCCAAGCGAGTCAAGAAAATAGACTTATAGTGGAAAAGCACTCTGGTCCTGGGCTGTTTCGAGTCATTGCAGTAAAGAAACCTGGCCGAAGCCAATGGCTTATATTGATTTTGAAAAACATTTTCTATATTAAGATATTCTAGATACAAATTAGCTTCCTTTGCTCAGTGTCTACTGTTGTTCCAATGGCCTCGAAATAACAACGGATCAAATCTTTGTGACGTATTCTCTCTGCTGGATGAGCTCGTCAGCGTGTGGGATGGGAGAGGCTGTGTGTGTGCATGTGTGTGCACGTAGGGAGAATACATGTATCTGTGTGTGCCTGTGTGTATATGTGTATGTGTAAATACATGTGTGCATGTATATCTGTGTATGTGTGTTCACATATGTGTGAGTGTGTGCATATGCATGTGTGTATATGTATATGTGTGTATGTGTAGGGAGAATATGCGTATATGTGTGTGCATGTGTGTACGCATACGTTTGTACGTGTAGATGCGTGTGCATGCACATCTCTATGTACGCGTATGTGTGCACGTGTGCAGATGCATGGTGTGCATGTGTGTGTGCATGCATGTGTGTGCGTGTACATCTGTACGTGTGTGCATACGCCATGTGTATGTGTGTATTTGTGTGTGCATGCGCATCTGTGTGCATGTGTGTGCATGTGTGTACGTGTGCACATGTATTGTGTGTATGTGTGTATGCATGTGTGCACACGCATGTGTGTGCGTGTGCATGTGTGTATGCGTGTGCGTGTGTATAGGAAGAATATGTGTGTGTGCATGTGTGTATGCATATGTTTGTACGTGTATATGTGTGTGTGCATGCACATCCGTGTGTATATGTGTGCTGTGTGTATATGTCTGAATCAGACAAAAATAGATTTTTCGAGAGAAAAAAGCGTCCACGAAATGCGAGGCTGGCAGAGCTGGCAGCCGGGTTGCAGACCGGCCTCGCGGGCACCAACACGGAGCAGCCCACACTTGTGACGTATTCTCTCTGCCGGATGAGCTCGTCAGCGTGCGGGATGGGAGAGGCTGTGTGTGTGCATGTGTGTGTGTGTGTGTGTATGTGTGGGAGTGTGTGCATGTGTGCATGCATGTGTGTACATGTGTGTATGCGGGACTGTGTGCATGTGCGGTGTGTGTATGTGGGAGTGTGTGCACGTGTGCACGTATGTGCGTGCACGTGTGATGCATATATGTGCGAGCATTGCGTATGTGTGTGCATGCATGCACGCTGTGATTCGAGTAGAAGCGTGCGTATGCATGTGCATGCATGTGTGGACACGTGTGATGTTATGTGGGACAACACGCACATGTGTGTGTGCATGTTCCCATGTGTGATGTGTGTGGCTGAGCATGTGCATATGTGTGTGTGCATGAGTGTGCATGTGTGATGTGTGTGTGTCTAGGTATGTGTGCATATGTGTGTGCATAATGTATATATGTGTGCATGTGTGTATGTGTAGGGAGAATACATGTATCTGTATGTGCCTGTGTGTATATGCGCATGTATGCATGTGTATATTCATGTGTGCATGTATATCTGTGTATGTGTGTTCATGTGTGTGTGCATATGTATGTGTGTATGTGTGTATATGTGTGTGCGTGTGTGTATGCATACATTTGCACGTGTAGATGTATGTGCATGCAGATCTGTGTGTATGCGTATGTGTGCACATGTGTATGTGTGCAGATGCACAGTGTGTATGTGTGTGTGCGTGCATGTGTGTGCATGTACATCTGTGCGTGTGTGTACGCGCCATGTGTATGTGTGTGTCTGTGTGTGCGCATGTGTGTGCATGTACATCTGTGTGCATGTGTGTGCATGTGTGTATGTGTGCAGATGTATTGTATGTGTGTGTGCATGTGTGCGCATGTGCATCTGTGTGTATGTGTGTGCATGTGTATGTGTGTATGTGTGTATATGTGTGTGTGTACAGGAAGAATGTGTGTATGTGTGTGTGCATGTGTGTATGCATACATTTGTACGTGTATATATGTGTGTGCATGCACATCTGTGTGTATATGTGCGCTGTGTGTATATGTCTGAATCAGACAAAGATTTTTCGAGAGAAAAAAGCGTCCACGAAATGCGAGGCTGGCAGAGCTGGCAGCCGGGTTGCAGACCGGCCTCGCGGGCACCAACACGGAGCAGCCCACAGACAGGAAGCTAAACCAGTCCGTGACCCTGGGCGAGATCAGGGTGAGCGTGGGACACCCAGTGGGGCCCGGGGGCTCACGAAACAGGAACGCCGACCGGACAGTTCCCGGAAGATGAGGACAAACCTCACCTAACCCCGTGGCGTCGGCGCTCGGGGTCACCGCTGCTTTCTTCGGCCGTCCCCCGTCCCCCTCTGCCTCGCCGCCTGATGAGTCAGCGCCCGCTGGGACCCCTCCCGGTGCGTGACCCCGGCCGATGTCAACGGTAAACTCGGCTTCTAGGCTCGGCACAGACGTGCTCCCCGCTTTGAGTCATCTCTAAACTTTTCGATTCCCAGAGGTCTCATATCGGGGACAAAAAAACCAAACCAAAATGGCAAAGAGCACGTGCAGCTCTGCCCGGGCGTCTCGGGAGAGCCGGTCTGAAGAGGCTTCATGAGACGTGACAAGCCTCCCGGGCTGTGACCGGTTCCTGGAGCCCGTCCCGCTCAGTGTCTGCGGGGACGGCCAGCCTCCAAGCCCGCCTCCAAACCCGCCTCCAAACCCGCCTCCACACCCGCCTCCAAACCCACCTCCAAAGCCCATCGGATGAACGCCTTTCGGGGTCCGTGACATTAGAAGCTGTACTGAGAGGTGCGGTGTGTCCGGGTCCTGTGGCCGCCGAGATGCTTGGGAACAGGCGGACACAAAGCAGTGGGCCACACGCCCGGGAAGAGCCGGCAGGACGGCACCTGCTTACCACACTCTCAGCGTCAGCCGAGACGCGGCTCGCTCGGATGAGACCGGCCCTGACACTAGCTCGACCTCCAGCTCGCCCGCACCACGACCTGCGCTGGCGACGGCCAGCGAAATCTGTCTTGCTTCCT